TATATTACGAAAAACTCGGCAGCGGTTAATGAGATAAAATTTTTTGAATATTTAAAAACTGGGAAAAAAAGGGCCATTAACACCCATTTTTCCCACCTTTTGGTTGATTCAAGATCCAGCTACTGTGAGGACATTTCAATATAACTTGTCTCTGTTAATCTCAACCATATTATTTTGAATTTTATATACATTCATAGCTAGTCTTCTTTTGGGCCCCTTTTATTTGAAAAATAAAATGAGGCTCTTTGCTATATCACAGCCATTAAGAGGAGAGGAGGTCAGGATGTTAACATCTGTAACATTATTTATTATTAAAATGATGAAATAAATTTATCACGGCAGGCACAATAGTAGTGGTCATGGTCACATGATCATGACCAACTTGGTTGCTATCTGTGGAGTGTAGACAAGGAGGCGTTGTGCGTAACATTGGAATTTTACGACTAGTGTAGGCCTATGTTGTGTTAAAATAGTTCATTGCTTTTACAGTAATTTATGCCTAGTAGACAGCTAGCTAGTGAATGAAATAAGGGCTAGAGCATTCTATCAAGGCCAATAAATGTGCCTGGACCATTTATTTTAAGTACACCAGTACTTACATCCAGTTTGCGGCAAGTGCAGACAGTACATAAATGTTTTTTATATAAAATCTGGCTCATTTCAATGTAATACTTTTGTTCTTTATTTGGATTATTCCCATAATTTAACATTTTGATTATGGAAACACAGAGTTTTCAACATATGACTGATCAAGTACACACTAATTTTAAATTTATATAATTAATTCCAGGTATATTTCATTCAGCGAGACTTTTCTATGGCAGACTATGTGTGATAATATAAGGCTCAGATTTCATACAAATAAAGATAATAATAATAATACTGTAATATAACAATTATATGGTGCTATCCACAATTTAAAAAAAGCAACTACTGTAAATATGCAAATATCAAATATATGCTGCCATAACTATACTCATGTTTTTTTGATCTATCACAAATAATTAAAATGTACTGAACATTTGCAAATAAATGTGAATATACAATTTATAGCTAACATAAAATTAGGATAAGAAAAATACCACTTTATGAGATTCAGATATTTAAACAATTATCAAAAAAATTATTGCAAATATACTCAAACCAGAAAGTATTTTAGAGCATAGCTCTGAAACGTACCAACCGACACTGACCCTCATTAAATAACACAACACCGCAATAATATTTTTACAGCTGAAATGTATCATTGACTTTGGTTTCAATTTTCGTTGATTGGGATTCAAAAACGCCTGATTTGTTGAAGAGGGAAGCAACAGAAATAAATCTGTTTGATTACACTCTTTGAGAACAGTTTAAAAGTTAACAGCACTACTCCTAAGAAATACTCCCAATTAAAATTTAAACGCTCAGCTGTCGGTTGTAGGCCGACGTGAGTCCATTGCGAATGCAAAGCAGGTTAATGACGATCCACCAACAATCAGATGTCATCAAGTTTTACAGAGAACGGAGAAAGATTTGCATTTTGTACCCAGGTTTAGAAACGTGCTACCAGTGCTTATAAAAACCAAAATCACAAAAAAAAAAAATGCTCCAATCAATTTCGTATGAATATTCGTTTGCACATTTAAATAAAATTGTATAAATTAATAAGACAGTAATAGAACCAAAAGCCATGATATATAAAGTATGAAAAAAAAATACATCAAATTTATAAACTATCTGAAACCGCCATTAGATCATGAAAACATATCTTAATATAATTATTTTGATATACAACACTGTAACATTAAGGCCAAGCAAATAAAATTTGTTTCTGAACTGAAGGGCCTTTTCCTGTCAGTTTTTCAGATCTAGTTGTTGCCATTAACACTACACTGTTGGCCAAAATGGTGGAATAACATCCAATAATAGAACTTTCTGCTAAGCCGCACCCCTTAGATACTGTTGCTAAGGTCTCACAAAATGACAGTTTTAAAACATACGCAAACATGTGTTTTGTGGACCAACACGTGTGCTTAGTAGACACTCGCGTGTATTCCTGGCCCTGTTATGAATGGTCAGCCCTTAAGTTTGATTGACATCATCCCAGAAAGGTTCATTATATTTATAATGTACTGTTAAACTTGCCTAAGTCGAATAATTTCTAAGTCGAATAATTTCTAAGTCGAATAATTGTTATGTATTCCATTATTTAACAATCTGCGAGTCGAATTTTATTTAAGTCGAACAATATTTTAATGGCATTTTGGATTCGACTTAGGCAAGTTCAACTGTATTTAATATATGAAAATATCTACAATCATGTTTACATATAATTACATTAAATTAGAATTCAAATGTAGGTGAACACTAGTAACTCGTGAGCATTCCCATTATTTAGAGTATATAAACCAAACAGTTGGATAATCAGCTTTTGGGGAGCAGACTGATGGGAGATTGGCAGGGGCGGATCCAGAGATGTCCAAAAGGGGGGGCCGAAAGGGGGCCCAAATTTGGGCCAATCGAGACAACAATGTCCCAGGGGGTCCGGGGTCATTCCCCCGCAAAATTTTTGTGTTCTAGACGCCCGTAAATATAATTTGAGGCGTTGTGCGCTATCATTTTTTTCTTTTTCTTTCTTTTTTTACCTGACATTAATTAATTAGAATATTTTGAACCACAAAATAATAACTTGGCCAAACCATCGAAACCATAATTTTGAATGACAGTCAGGCGTATCTAGGGGTATTGGAATAAGGGGATGATGGGGTGGTGTGAAGGTGCAGTG